CTCAATCTCATTAACTTTCCTCTCTTCCTTCCTCATATAGGATCAGTTTAATGGGATGAGCTTTGTCTGTATTGGGGCTATCTTGGTCTACGTGGCCTTCTTTGAAATTGGCCCAGGCCCCATTCCCTGGTTTATTGTGGCCGAACTCTTCAGCCAGGGACCCCGCCCGGCTGCAATGGCTGTGGCTGGTTGTTCCAACTGGACCTCCAACTTTTTGGTCGGGCTCCTCTTCCCCTCAGCTGCGGTAAGCAAATTAAAGCAAAATGACTCACCTAGCACATCTCGAAATCAGCCCTCGTAAGCCAACATGTTTATGATATGATTACTGATACCATTTAAGATGAGATCTCAAGGGCTTCAACCCAGTTTTTTTTCCCTTCATTTTTAATGATACAGGAAAAAAAAAAAAAAGGAATGATAGAAAAGGTTGAAGCAAGAGGGTAAAACGGAGAACTTTTAAAATGCCACTCGTCTGAGAGGATACAGGCATAGTTTTACCGAGAAAAACGGAATGATAGTGATAAACCTCAAAGGATTCCAAACCAATACATAAAATTCATCATTCGAACTAGCATTATGGCTTCATGGTCTTAAAGGCTCACTGTGCATAGGATGTTAATGAATGAGGTGGGTCCTACTATAAAATGACCTGGAGCTGATTTATTAAATAAAGGAACTTGCAATATACATTTAGAATGCATTTCCTATTTCTCTGAGTCTTTCCTAATCTAGATTTTAAAAATAATAATCAAAAATCATAAAATACTCAATAGGTATTTGGAAGCAGCTAACTTCAATGAACAGGAAAAGGAATGACATAAAATGACAGAACTCCAGAAAGTTAGCAATAGAATCATGAATGAGTCTCTGAAGAAACCTTCCTGTTTTCATTAAATATGAAAGGGCGATAGCTTGAAGTCTATTGGAAATACAAATGTGAGGGAAACAAGTTTGTCAGTGACCAGATTTTTATATCAACACTTTTTTTTTTGTATCCTTTCATAGTTCTACTTAGGACCCTACGTTTTTATTGTCTTCGCCGCCTTCCTTGTGATCTTCTTGGTCTTCACCTTCTTCAAAGTCCCTGAGACTCGTGGCAGGACTTTTGAGGAAATCACACGAGCCTTTGAAGGGCAGGCACAGGCAGCTAATAATAGAGCTGAGAAAGGCCCGGTTATGGAGATGAACAGCATCCAGCCTGTTAAGGAGACCGACACCAATGTTTAAGCCATGCCTCCGTCCCACCTCCCTCCCAGCGTGAAAAAGCAACCTCTTCCCATCGAGGGAGAGGCCTCATCAGGTTGTAACCCAGGACTGTTTCTGAATGCTGCTACTTGATTCTTCTCTCATCCCCACACTCCATGAGCACTCAGAGGAACCCAATGCTGGGGTTAGTTGTATCTTCAATGGCTTTTTAAACATTTCATTTCCTGGACATCCTCTTCTGTTTAGGAGAGACCAAGTGAACCTACTACCTTCTTCATTTCAGGAAGGATTGGCTACTTGGCGTTTGACGACTTGGCCAGCTCTTCCTCCCTTAAGTTCTAATATGGTTTCATGAGGGCAAATAGGGGAGTGAGAATAAGGGAGCAGTTCCCCAACCTCAGACTCACCAGGAAACAGACATGCGTAAGAGTGTGGAAGGCAGAGAAGGATTATATAAGAGCACCTTCCTCACTTTTATACAGCTCTGCAGAGCAAATTAACTTGAGTTTTATTTATTTTATCTTCTGGTTATATTGCATAAATATTTATTTTTTTAAGTAAAGTAATTTTACCAAATAATGAAAACAGAAGGAAATTGAGGTTAGAGGGAGGTGCTTAAAGAGTTTATAGTGTGGAAGATTTGATACTGGAGAGGTTATGGTTTAATAAGAAGAGAAGAATTTAGACAGAAATGTGTTATTGGCGGGTGTATGATGTGGTGTGTGAGGTTTGTATGTTGCCTCTTAATAATTTGTCCTTCGGACGGAAACTCTCAAGTTCAATTTCTCAGAAAAGTCATGTGCCTGTATAAAGAAGCTATTGGTTTCCTTTGGAACTTTTTTCTTTGTTTAAGATTATATGTAGTATTACTTGAAATCTAGGATTATTACTAAGATGGGCATTGTAGTTAGTGGTGGTTGATGGGTTCTAATTTTGGATAGAGTCCAGGAAAGGGAAGATTATTTGTAGAAATCAATCCTCTTTTTCCCTCACTGGACCAAACAACTAATTCCTCTTATAGTGGACTCAATTTTTTTTTTTTTTTTTTTTTAAGTGCTCCTACCATCCATCTGGTGGGAGAGACCTCTAAATGAGCAACCTAAAATATTGGTTCTTGGTAAAGGTTTGGTATTTCTCCGTTTTGTTATTTAGGAGATTTTTAGATATTGATTTTTATTTTGTTTTAAGCTATAGCTAAAAGAATTCAGAGGAGAGTGTTCATAGCTAACTTGGAATTTGTAACCTCAGCCCTGGGAGAGGATTTTTCTCAAATGATGATTATCTAGTTGGAGTGTGTTTGTTGCTTTAGGGTCAGCGCATGCCTGTTTTTGTCTGTTACCATGTTATCATAGTATTATGTCAAGTGTCCTTAAGGCACTTGAATCTTTCCCATAAACCACATTTGAGGTAGTATGAGTAAATGTGCAGTGTACCCCACACTTGAGAGAATGTATGAATGAATGTATGTGCACTGTCACTTTGCTCTGAGTGGAAGTAGTTTATTGGTAACTTATTTCCTCTATGTCCCTACAGTCCCTTTTGGGATAGAATGTGTTAAAGCTCAGCCCTCTGTATATAAGCAACACTGCCTCTGCTGGGTGGAATTTGCATCTGTGGCTTTGTTTCTAACCTGGAGAGGACTTCGCTTCACTCTGGACTTGGTCAATGAGGGTAGGAATGAGTGTGAAATCAGGACATGTGGCCTCCTGGGGGTGCTAGAGGTAGAGGCATGGGGGAGAAGAAGGCATTCTTTTAAGAGGATAAGAAACACACTGAAGACTTGTAACTCTGGAACTTTTCAGAGAGTTAGATGAGATGGAAGTATTTACACTTGCCACAGGTCACAGACACCTCCACAGTCTAGTTTCCCAGTATTTTTATACATGAGATTGTACCCCAGTGACACTTACCCTCTATTCCCTTTGTCATAAGTTGCTTGATCTCCCTTTCCCTCCTTGGTGCTTATATATTTCAGGCCCTTTAGCCAAACCTTTGCCTATGACAGACAGTATTTCGGTTCTTACCATTCCCTCTGGTCGTTGAGCCTTTGGACAAAAACTCACAGAGCTGTGGCATGGGGCTTTGCTGGGACAGGTGATTTTTCTCTAACTGCACCTCTACTTTTGGCTTTTCAAAAATTGTGGGTTGGCAGTAATGCACTGTGGAAGTTTTCCCATTTCTCAGTGACCAGATTGTGAATATTTCCAAATAGATTTTCTATTATTGTTACTGTGGTTCTTTGTTTTGAAATAAAAATTCTGAATGTACATGTTATATCCCAAGCTTGGTTTTATTGTTTTGTTTTGTTTTTGTCCTTCCTCTAAAAACAAAATCCACTTTAAATTCTGGTTTGACCACTCAGAAACTCGAGTACGTTTCTTATAAAAGAGTCTCGTGTATATGAAAGTAGCAATACTTGTTTACTGTGCAGATGAAATGAAAATACCTTAGTGCCTTGCTTTGCATAGTTAATAAATTATGTTGCCTTTCTTTCCCCAGTGAGAATTATTTTTCTCTTATGTTCTTTCTTTCTTCATTTTTCCTAGTCTTTGATCTCTAAAATTCATCCTACATTGGTGTCAAGGCATCCATGTGACTTTTATATCACTATCTTACTAAAATCTTTCAATAGCTTTTCATCAACTACAGAAAAAAACTTTGGCCCCCTGGTGGTTCGCACACCCCTTTTCAGTTTGATTTCCCATTTCTTAGCTCCCATTTTTATATAAGAAAACACCTTACGTTAGTTGGGGCAGTCATTAACACCTCTATGCCTTCATTTATGAAGTTCTGACGCTCCCTTCCCTATGTTTCTGTTTACTTACTAAAGATATTTGAATGGCTGGCTACTTTTTATTTGTAATCAGCTCAGGCATGAGTTCGCTACAACCTTCCTCACTCCCAACATAATCCTTACACTGTGGTACTCCGTATATTAGAAGGAATGAAGAAATGAACCGCCTCTCACTATCCCAAAAGAGTATACTATGTTCTCCACAATTCTGGTTTTCTTCGCTCCCTTTTCCCACCTTGCTTCCTTATAATTCATTCTCCAGGTAACCAGAGAGATATTTTAAAAATCAGATCATGTCACTCTCAGCTTAAAGCCTTCCATTTACATCTTGTCACACTTAAAATAGTATCCAGACTCCTTTACCATAGCTTATAAATTGGGTGACCATTAAGTCCCAGTTTACTCCTATTACTCTGGTGTAACTTTTAGTATACTGCTTTTCTTCATTTTCAAAACTGCCCTGACATTGTTATGGTTATCCTACCTAGAAGGTTTGCTGCTTCAACTTCATCACTTGTTCTCTCCTTACTCACTGAAGTCTAGCCCCACTGGTCTTTTCTAGTTCTCATACACCTCAAGTTCATTATCACTTAGGGTTTATTTACACTTGTCCCCTTGTGCTTGGAATATCCTGCCTCAAAATTTCACATAGCTGAGTATCTTGTGAGTTAGGTCTTAGTCAACCTCTGAAGGATATAAGGTCCATAAAAGCAAGTGCCTCATTTGTCTTGTTCATTCCTAGAACACTGTATGACGTGTAATTGGTGTTTATTAAGCATATCAGTCTGGCTCCTATTAGAAGACAAATCACACATTGATTTAAACAAGGAACATTTAATATAGAGATTATAAAGCCCAATTAAGAGTAAGTAAAATATAAAAGACGTAAGGGAACTGGTAGAGCTGAGAAGAATATCCCAGGAAAGACAAACTTGGAAGGCAGGCCACCTCTCCAATGCTGAGGTTCAGATCTTATTAGGAAAGGCATAGTTGCAGTCCACTAGATAATTTGCCTGGACTGCATTAGCCAGAGCTGGAGGGCATTCCCCAGGTAAGCAAGAGACAAGTATTAAGGTGAGCTGCAACTGGTAGTCAGATGGATTGAACGTTCAGAGGGAGTCAGGGCACCAATATGGGTGAGAGGCCTGGGGCCTTGTTCAAAGTGATTGCCAGACCTGGGTTGGGGCTGTGAAATGGCTGGGGGAGTTTGCATTCTGGGTGAATGGCCGCGGCAGGGTACTACCAAATGTTCTGTCACCTTCACTGCTGACCCATGGTGTAGCCACTGGAACCACCAGCAGGAGACATCCCCTTTCTCTTACAATTTCCAGCACTATCCACTGAGAAAACTGCATTGTGCTTAATATTCTAAAGAAGAAACGATTTAAAGGAATTCTATCCATTACCACCAAGCAGGTATTGAAGGGTGAATTTGGAGCTGAGAGGCAATAAATTGATAACTGGCACAATGATTATTAGATGGCTGGCTGGATGAAGTCCGGGGTTGAAAAGATTTCCCTCTTTCCACACCTCCCAAAGCCACCTGGACTTGAAATAAAATTCAAGTTGAAACGTGTACCCCCACTTTTTTTTGAATCAAAAGTGTTTGCTGCAGAAATTTGGCCGAAGTTCCAACTGGATGGTTCCCTCAGAGTTTGGGCCGGCAACCCCCGACCAAGGCTACGAAAGTTTGACAAGGGAAAGGCAGAGGGGCTGCCTCAGCCTGCAGCCTCAGAGCTGCCTGATGATGGGGACCAGGCTGCAGGTGAGGCCTGATGAGCCGACCAGCTCTGCCTCTACGTTCTGGATCTTCACCACGACGTCCCTTCGTCACCATGGAGAAGCTCTTGGGTGTCAGTTTCCAAAGAGTGGCACCAAGGAATCATCCAACAACAAAGCTGTGTCCTTAATCCGGGCGATGGTCGCAGCGACACCAATGAAGGCGGCCACCTTTCTCCTGCCGGTCGTCGCTCTCTGCGGTACCAGTACCCCGAACTCGGCCGCAGCCACGAGTGAGCACAGAGCGCACAGTCCGGGAGCGCACATCGGGACATCCCAGGCGTGGCCCTGCGGCTGCAACTGCCCACTTCCCCAGCCGGGTGGTCGCTGGAGGCCGGGCCTGGCTGCAGATGAAACCGCAGACCCTGCCAGAAACCCGGTTTGGCGGGGGTGGGTCTCCCGCGAGTAGCCCTTACTGCGCAGGCGTGGGTGGCTGGAGAACTCTGTCATCAGGTTTTGTTCAAGATTATGAAAGCCATTTCTGGCTCTAACCTGGGATATACTTGGAACCCAGCAAACCTTCAAGTGCCAATATTTTCCGCTTTTCTTGTTCTGAAGTGTATTTACCCTTCCTGGATTGCTCTAGGCTTTGTGATTTAATTGATAGGATTGAATCATCTGAGTTAGGATAGATTTCAGAGATTAAACTCAAATCTCTCTCTTTCTCTCTCTCTCTCTCTTTTAATGAGGAAATCGAGTCAAAATGAATGAATTGGCAAACTGAAAATGGCACCCTTGGCTTTGACTAAATGCTCAAGGATTGGAGTAAAGTAGCCAACAAGCTATAAAGGCACCACTTTCTACACGCTTCTACCAAAACGTTTTATTATTAAACCTTTAATCTTTATCGATCCTGCACTTTATGTTTGCATTTTTATTATAAGATTAAGCATTTTTTTTACATGGTTAGGAGCTATTTGTATTTCCTTATCTGTGAATCCTTTGTATAAATCAGATGAAGAATAAATAAAATGGAATATATAAATAAAATACTTACCACATGACCCACCAATTCCGTTCCTAGGTATATTTATTACCCCCCCCAAAAGAAAACATATGTCCACACAAAAATTTGTTCCCAAATGTCATGTCATGGCATTATTCACAATAACCCCAAATTGGACACAAGCCACACAACCATGGCAGGTGCACGGATAAACCAAAAGTAGTATGCCCATACAATGCAATATTATTTGGTCCCCAACCTATTTGGCATCAGGGACTCGTGCTCCTATGAGAATCTAATGCCTGATGATTCTAAGTGGAGCTGAGGTGGTGATGCTAGCTAGCCCTGGGGAGCAGCTGCAAATACAGATAAAGCTTCACTGACTTACCCGCACTCACCTCCTGCTGTGCAGCCCAGTTCCTAACAGGCCACAGACTAGTACCTGTCCATGGCCCCGGGGGTTGGAGACCCTTGCTATAATACATCCTAAAATATGGGTGGACCTTGGAAACATATATGTATGAAACCAATCACAGAAGACCACATATAACATGACTCAATTTATGTGAAATTTCTAGAATAGACAACTTTCTCAGTAGAGAGAAAGAAGGTAGATTAGTGGTGGCCTAGAAACTGAAAGAAGGATATAGAATGGAGATGGGGACACAAAGGGATAGGGAATGACTTATAATAGGTACAGAGTTTCTGGGGGTGATAGAAATACTCTAAAATTAGATTATGATAAAAATGCTAAATATCATGGAACTGTATACTTTAAATAGATGATCTTTATAATGTACAAATTGTGTAAAAATAAAGTTGTTTAATAAAAAGATTAAAACAAGAACAAAATAAGAAAATTAAGTGATATAAAAACCTAAATGTTCTGATAGGAAACTGATAATTTTGAAACATCCTGTAATGGAATATTATGCAGATATTCAACATAATTGAATCGGTAGATGTTTTTATGCTGTATATATATGAAGGATCTGATTTCTCCATATCCTTAACAACAGTTGTTAATATCTGACTTTTGAATGTAGTCATCCTAGTGTGTATGGGTATCTCAATGTGGTTTTGATTTCCATTTCCTTAATAATAATGATGTTAAACATCTTTTCATGAGCTTATTGGCCATTTGTATATCTTCTTTGGTGAAATGTCTATTCAAGTCCCTTGCCTGTGTTTTGGTTACCAGAGTTTTTATTTATTTTTTATTTATTGCTTTATTGCATTTTAAGAGTTTTAGTCTGGATATGAATCTATCATTAGATATATGATTTGCACATCCAATTCTGTAGGTTTTTTCACTTTCTTGATAGTGTGCTTTGAAGTACAAGCTTTCAAACTTTGTTGGCGGGCTTGTGCAATGGTGTAACCACTGTAAAAAATAGTATGGAGGTTCCTCAAAAAAATAAAAATAGAACACTATATGATCTAGCAATCCCAATTATGAATATATATCCAAAAGAATGGAAAGTAGGGTCTTAAAGAGATTTTTGCATACCTGTGTTCATAGCAGCACTATTCACAATAACCCAAATGTCCGTCAATGGATGAATAAAGAGAATGCAGTATACATATCTAAGGGAATATTCTTCAGCCTTAAGAGAAGGAAATTCTATCATGTTTTACAACATGGGTGAGTTTGAGGCTGTTATGCTAAGTGAAATAAGCCAGTCACAAAAAGACAAATACTGTATGTTCTCCTTATATAAGGTATCTAAAGTAGTCCAAATTATAGAAATAAAAAGTGAAAT